GGCCTTTGGAATTGGGCCATTGCCCACTTTTTGACCTTTTATGGTCAGTCTTGAAAGTGTCATGGCACCGGTGGGTGTGCCACTTAGCAGCCTTTGTGTGACAATGAAGGCGTATTGAAGCTCAAGGTCCACTGGGAGTTGGATCTCCTGCCGTCTTGGTGCTCATTGCGGCGTCCTTCCTTTAATGGCTGTGCCCTGCCCCCTTCCCTGCAGCCTCACTTCTTCTGGAATATTTGCTATATTATATATTAATGCTATAAATTTCCCTGTAAGCACTGTATTTGCCACATTCTGCTCATCTTGATAAGTTATATTTTAATTTTCATCTTGAGACTTCTTCTTTGGCCCATGTGTTATTTATAAATGTGCTGTTGAATCTCCAGATAGTTGGGGATTTTCCAGCTATCTTGCTGTTACCGGCTTCCAGTTTAATTCCATTGCGATGGGAGAGCGTACTTCGTACGATTCCTTTTGTTTTTGTCAATGTGTTCAAGTGTGTTTTATGGCCTAGAGTGTTCCATGTGAACTAGAGGAGTGTGTATTCAGCTGTTGTTGGATGGAATATTGTATGTGTCAGGTAAATCAGATTGACTGTTTAGTGCTCTTCAGGTCAACTGTGTACTTGTTGAGTCTGCCTGTCACTGAAGGGAGTGGTGAAACCTCTAACTGCAGTATAATAGTGGGTTTGTCTATTTCTCCTTACAGGTCTGTCAGGTTTTGCTTCTGTATATTGACACTATGTTGTTAGGTGCACACACGTTAGTATTTTTTATGTTTTCTCGGAGAATTGACCCCTTTATGACTGCATAATGTTCCTCTTTATCCCTGATAATTTTCCTTGGTCTGAAGTCTGTTTTGTTTGAAATTAACATAGCTACTCTAGCTTCCTTTTTATTAGCATTAACAAGTAATATCTTTCTCCATCCCTTTGTTTTTAACTTGAATCTTTTTATTTGAAGTGGGTTTATTTAGAAAGCATACAGTTGAATCTTGCTTTTTTATCCACTTGGAAAATCTCCAATTTTTGACTGGTGTATTTAGATGAGGTACATTTAAAATGATTATTAATGTAGTTGGATTAATATTTACCATATTTGAAATTGTTTTCTATTCATCTGTTCTTTTTTTTCCCCTCCTCCTTTTCCTGATTTCTCTGGTTTTGAGTATTTTGTATAATTCTATTTTATCTCCTCTATTAGCATATCAAGTACAGTTTTTAACATCTTTCAGTGGTTGCTCCAGAATTTGCAATATATACATATATATATATTTTACTAAACTAAATCCACTTTCAAATAACGCTATACCAGTTGATATGTAGGAAAAGTGCCTAGCAAAGTATTCCTGATTCTCCCCTCTCTTCCTTTGTGACTCTGCTGTTACTCACTTCCCTTATCCATATTCTGTAGTCACCCAATACATCGTCACTGTTCTGGCTTTAAGTATTTTCTTTTAGATCAATTAAAAGAAAAATGAAATACTATATCTTGCCTTCATTGATTCCTTCTCAATCTCTTTTCCTGTGTTTATGCTGATTTGAGATTCTGACTTACATAATTTTTTTTTTCTCTCTGAAGAACTTTGCGTTGTTTTTGAGGTGGGACAACTGGTAACGGATTCCTTCAATTTTTGCTTATCTGAGAAGGTGTTTATTTTTCCTTCACTTTTGAAGGACAGTTTTCCTGGAAATAGGATTTTAGTTTGGTGGTATTTTAATTTTGACACTTTAAATATTTCACTCCACTCTCTTCTTGCTTGTTTGGTTTCTGAAGAAAAGTTAGATCTAATTTCTTATTCTTGCTTCTCTGCAGGTACAGTGTTTTTTCTCTTTTCTTTCTGATTTCTTTTGAGATTCTTATTTGGCCTTTGATTTTTACCTTCAAATATGATATGCCTAGGAGTATGTATTTTAGTATTTGTCGTACTTGATGTTCTCTGAGCTTCCTGAATCTATGGTTTCATAAGTGATTTGGGAAAATTCTCAGCCATTCTTGCTTCAAATATTTTTCTGCTCTGTTCTCTCTTGTTTCCTCCCTCTGGTATTCTAATTATGCTTATGTCATACATTTTGAAAGTATCCTACAGTTCTTGGATGTTCTGTTCTGAGTTTTTAAATTTTTATTTTGTTTTTTCTGTTTGCACTTTAGTATGAGAACTTTCTGTTGCCCCATCTTCAAGCTCACTGGCTTTTCCCCCGGCTGTGCTTACTCTGTTGATGAGCCTGACCGACAGTCTTCATTTTTTACGATGGTTTTGTTTTCTAGGGTTTCCTTTGATTCTTTTTTAAAAATTCCATCTTTCTGCTTATATGACCCATTGGCTCTTGCAATTTGTCTCCTTTTCCTCAAAGAACCTTTAATGTATTAACCATAGCTAGTTTAGTTCCCTGTGTGATCATCCCAGTGTCTGGTCATGTCTGAGTCTGGTTTTGATGTTTGTTCTGTCTCTTCAGATTGTGAATTCTCTTGCCTTGATAGCTGAACGCGATGTACTTGTTAGTAGGAACTGAGGTAAAAGGCCTTTCGGGAGAGGTTTTATGTTGCTGTTGGTCGGAGCTGAGCTATGTTTAATGTGTGCTGAAGCTGTAGGTGCCAGAGGCTTCAAATTCCTCTCGTGACTTTTTGTTTCCCCTGTTGTCTTTGGAGTTTCCTAAGAACTTTCCTAGGAGCTCCCCCTTAGAGAGTGTCTGATTCCTGCTGCCCCCTCAGCTGTAACTCTCCGTGACCGCACTGGGGCCCTCTAACGAGGCTGTGAGTCGAGGGGCAGGGGACCGTTCTGTACTCTCAAGATTAAACCTCAGTCTTTAAGCAGGCTGGTGTACCTGGGCTCTGGCCTTCATGAGAGTTCCCTAGCGATTTTGATCCTCCTTGTGTGAGACGGGGAGGTGAGAGGGACTGGAGTGGGGTCCTTGCCCTTTGTTGGGTTGGGTGAGGCCTGCAGGATGGGCCTCTGTTGTGCAGACCGTCCTGGCACATTTCGATTGGTTCCTCTTCCCTCTTCCGCCACCCTGGCCAGAGCCAGGAATGCGTGTTCTTGGCCCTTCACCGTGAGAACCTGGTGGGGTTCCTGGAGGTCAGAGCCACCAGAGTGTGCACCCCCCTCAAGACGATGGCCCCTCACAGTTTCTTTCTCAGTCAGGCCGGTTCATACTCAGCCTCCAGCAGTTGACGATAGTGACCACACAGGTGACCAGTGGCTTCTTCTGGCGAGCAGACCTCGGCTGCGGCCGTTGGACCTCGCCTCCCCAGGTTTCAGGGGCTTGGCTTGTCCTGCGCCGTCAGTTTTCTGCTGGGGCCAAGAAGTTGCTGAGGATGGGTTTGTGCAGCCCTTCCCTGTGAGGATGGGAGTGATGGCTCTTCGTGTGTCAGAGCTGAGACCTCAGGCCTCCACCCTCAAGTTTGTGCTGTTCTGTCTCACCCTCCTTTGCTCGATGACAAACCCTGTGAAGGCGTCTGCCGTGGTCCTGAAGAGGGCACCGATGGAGACACAGGTGCCTGCAGTGTGAAGCAGGGCGATTCTGTGGGTCTGGGCCTTGACTTTCTAACCTGTAAGTGAACGAAGCCTGTGTTCCCTACCAGCTTTGAGCCTGATAACTTTCTCTTTCTTCTCAATTACTTGTGACACTTTGCAGGATATTCTGCATAAGGTGGATGTTCAAACTTTCCTTCAATAGACTGATAAGATTTTGCCTTATGAAGCAGAACATCATCAGCTGGATAATCTTTTCTTGGCTAATTTCATCTTTCTGTCATTTATGAGATTTGATATAATTGATTTACAGGTATTAGACATTCAAAGAATTTTGAAAAATGTAATGAATGACTTGCATGGAATTTTTCCAGGAAATATTTTATTTAAATTATATTTTTTAAAAATGAAGTACAAAAGAAAGAACTCAGACACAAAAGGTCACCGATTGTATGATTTCATTTATATGAAATATCTAGAATAGGTGAAACCACAGGGACACGAAGCAGATTTCTGGCTGCCAGGGACAGAGCGGATGGGAGTAGAGATCAGCTGCTTGGTGGGAGATGGTTTTATTTGGGGGCGATGGGAATCCCTTGCAACTTCATAGATTTCTGCCTGCGCAGCATAGTGAATGCACTAAATGCACTCAATTGTGAATTTTAAAATGGGTAATTTTGTATTATGTGAATTTCACCTCAATAAAAAATACATATAGTACATTAAAAATTCAAAAGCCTAGCAGTGCAAAAACTTTTACATTACAAAGCACTTCTTCCCTCTGCCCCCAGGCTGTTTGTCTCCTGAACCAGAGGCATCTGCTGTCAGTTTCTTACATATACTTTCACACCAGTCCCCTCATCTCCTTTTTTGGAAAATGCTGCATATTGCTCTTTTTTCCTACTTAATTTGGAGCTTTGTCCTTATCAGCACATAAACATCTACCTTATTCCTTTTCAAAGCTACATAGTCAAAGGAATTAATTTCTAAGTTCTTTCAAGTTGAGGTGTGTTTTATCTCATCCTTCTAAATAAACTATTTTTTTTCCCCTGCAGTAATGCCTCTGCTATAACAAGCTGCTTAATTTGTGCCTAGTTCAGTATCCAGTTAGGCAAATCAATCAGCTCTTTGTGAGCAAGTTTAAGCCTAAGAATTAGCTTCATTTTTATGAGTCATTTCTTAGACTCAAGGATGATGGTATTAGCCAAATGCCTTTTATCACAACAAGAGAATTGAAAAGGAAACTCATTTAATTAATTGATAGTTAATGAGCCAATGAATCTGTTCCATAGCTATAATCTGACAGATATCTCCATTGCTGAAGAATGTGTTTTATTTTCCCCCAGAGAAGACAAATGTGAAATCACTAGCTGCAGGACAACTCTAAAGGGATGACTGTGGGTCCCTCTGGCCCCCAGTGTGTAGGACTGTTAGCGTACAATGCCCGTAGACAGAGATGGCTTTATAGAAGCCGGACAAGACCTCTATTCATAGCAGAGTCAAGCAGCCACACACACGAAAACCTCCACTTACTGTGGCTGCAAATGCTGAAACGCACAGAGAGCCACATGGATTCTTGAATTAAAATTTCTGAATTTGAATTCTTGAACTTGCAAGGTCAGCAGCAACCAAAAGACAGTTCTTGATTTGGAAATCGGAAGCTTGGGAGAGTAGAAGGATTGCCCTCGGACCTCTTTTGTGTCCTCGTGTGTATGGAATTGCAGGTAAGTGGGAGGATCTCTCTCTGTGAGCTGGAGTCTGTGCTCATTAGCTGAGTCTCAATCCCCATTCATTATGGAGAGAGAGGAAGAAGCAAGAGCCTCCACTAATTCTAATCCTTGTGCCCAAGTCAGGCTGCTCTAAGGATTTGCTTCAAGGAACCTGGAACGCAAAGCAATGGGGCATTTTGGAAGGACTGTAATTCAGAGTCTGCAGTGTGTTCCACTTACGAGGTCCTTTTGTGAGGCCAAAGAAAAATGATTACTTTCTCTCAGTGTTTAGTATCTTATGGATAATATACGACATCAAAAATCTTCAGTTCTAAAAACTTAGAGTTATAAATGCAGAAATTAAAAATAAATGTTCAATTAGGACTAAAATGAAGAGTGAGATTTCTTTAAGTACATACGGAAGATTTACCGGTTTTTTCTTTTCTACATTCTTATAGAAAAATTGTGTGTGTGTGTGAGTGTATAACTTAAATGTATGTTCACAATTTGGATATATACAATGTCTTGTTTTACGCCTTTGTATTTGCTGTTATGTCTTAGACATCTCTTCATACCAATAATTAGAGGTCCAGGTCCTTTACTTGTATGGAGGACAAGTCTTATTTACTCAACGTGTCCCTCTTGATGGGCATTTAAGTCACTTTCCAGTTTTCACTTTTACAAAGAACGCTACGCAGTGTTCTGTCATCAACACGTTCCAGAACGATACCCGGTTATGCTGACATCCGACATCCAGTACCCACTCTGATCACCATCCTTCCTCATTGCCCCTAATCCTTTTGCTCCTGGTCTTCAGAAATACTTCATCCCCACGGGATCGCCAGCCCTACTTCCTTTTCAGTGCTCCCTGCACCTTTATGTCCTCAGTCCTTTTTTTCCTGAAATGCAGTCCTTTCTCCCACTCTCCTAATCACCGGACAAAACACGGCTTTGGCTGAGTCCAGTTTCCTGCTGTTGTGCACCTGCACCCGAGCTGCTCTGTGGGGCTGGGGGAGTGCTTGGCCCTGGTTCTGACCACAGTGCTCTCTCAGCAGGCCCCGCAGTCCTGCAGTATGGATCTAAGCATACGTGTGTGTGTGTGTGTGTGTACATATCTATAGTATGTCTGTGTCTGTATTTTACAAAGCCCTAAAGGTTTTGAGTGATTATCTCTAACCTCAGTTTTTTCTCATAAACCTTGTTATTTTAGTGATCCCAGCTGTTCTTTGCTTGGTGAACTAATTTAACAGGGAATAATCTTACATATAACTCACTAATCAGATCCATTTATATATTGAAGTACGTATAATTGGTGAAAGAAGCAAATGAGTGAAATAATTTCTTTAATGCAGATTTTTGCACCAGTTTGGCTCTGAGGGTATCCAAACAGTTGAGTCCTTTGTTCACAATCTGATGTTGCAGCCCTGTTCATATAAAGGGGTGAACTGATTCAATTCTATTAGAATGAAATTGGGATTCCAGAAGAGCTTAAGTCTGGAAGACAAGAAGCCTGGTCCTAGGCTGCAGTGCATCACATTTGCTTCAGGGGACAAACAGTAGTGTTTTTTTTGTTGGTTTTTTTTTTCATGTTTAATCACTCAGAGAGTAATGTGTGGGCATAAAGACTGCTACCCAGTCTGGTCTCCCTGAGAGCAGGATCATGTCAGATCCATTCATTCCTACCCAGCATCTCAGCAGATGGTAAGGATGCAAAAAAGAAAAAAAGGGTAATAATAGATGAACATTGACTATAGGTGTTTCTGCTAAAACCCACCACGTGCACCCCTGGTTCTCTGCAGCGTCAGGCACTAAAACTAGCTGGGCTCGTGGGGAGGTGGGGCGGGGACTGACCGCTCACACTCTGCGCAGCTCTGTGAGCAGGGCCCCAGGGAGGGCGGAGTTGAGCACCCGGAGGTCGGAGCCCTGGCTGGAGGCGGCCACCGCTTGTAGTAAATGTGCGAGTGAAGAACTTCAATGCTTTCACTCATGCCTGTTGGTGGTGCCCAGGCAAAGCCAGAGCACAGCAGCCCCCTGGGCAGGGCTCTGGAAGGTGGGCTGGGGGGCTTTGCAAGCTGCCGGCAGACTGCAAAGGCACAGGCTCACAGCACAGCTCTGCGCAGAGGGGCCCAGCCTGCAGCCTTTCCTTGTAAACCTTTCAATAATGCGGCTAAAAAGGTCTACTACTGTCAGTGTACCAGCTCGTGGAGAGCTTTTCTTTCTCGCTACAGATTATAATTCTATTCACTGGCTTTTCAGACCTGGGGACAATGGCCGAAACACAGTAAAAGAGACTGTGTGGTATTATCTTTTGTTTGAAGGATTAAAATGTATTGCCAAGCAAAGGCAGAGAAAAGATGTGCAAAACCCAGGATCACATTTTCTGGAGTGGGTACCTTGATGCTTTGGGATGGAGGAGGCGCTTTCTGCAGGGGGAGAGGGCTGCTCCGGGCAGGGGCCGGGCCAGGGGCGAGGTCACTCGGAGCTCTCAGCCTCCACGTGCAAGGCCGTGGACTTCAGGAGCTGGTCCTGAGCTTTGCAGGAGAAGAACTCACTTGCTCAGGCCGCCTGCAGGCAAAGCTTGTCATTTTAGTAAAGGCGCACGAGGAGAGCCTAGCCACCCAGGGGATGCGCGCAGTTTTCCATTGGGATGTGTCTCACGTCTGCTCGGATGGAAACATCTGCCGCTCTCAGATACCCCACTTTGAAGTGACTGGAAGGACAGGATTGATTTTGTTCTTTGCTTCCCGACCAGAGATGCTTAAAAATAAGCCAGGTTCAGAGGCTGGCATTGCTTTTCTGATGAGCAAATATTGCACTTGCGCAGAGGGAGCCGGGGAAATTCTGGCGTTACTATGCCTTTACATTTTCTCCCGTGGATGTGTGTATGTTTTGATAATAATGTCACTGAGATAGAATTCACACAGTATAACATTCACCATGTTGAAATATATGACCCTGCGGTTTTCAGGGTGTCGTCACGTACGAGCATCACCACCACCCAGTTCTGGAACGTGTTCAGTTCTTTCCCGAACCCCTGGAGCCCGCGGACCTGTTTCTGCCTGTGTGTGGGGTTGCCTGTTGTGGACATTCCATATGCACACTTTCCTGCAGTGTGTGGCCTTCCGCGTCTGACCTGCTTTGCTTGGCCTGATGTGTCCGTGGTCCATCCTTACCGTGTCGTGCCTCAGTGCTTTGTTCCAAACCCACCATGGGGACCCACCGCGTCTTGTTTTCACAGTCGCCGGTTGATGGGCATTAGGGTTGCTTCTGCTTTTCGGCACTTTGGAACCACGCTGCCCTGTGCATATTCACACGCAGGTTTCTGTGTGGACATTTATTTCCCGTCCTCTTGGGCGTGTGCCTGGGTGTGGAATCGCTGGGTCGTCTGTGACTCCAGGTTCAACGCTGGGAGGAGCTGCCACACAGTCTCCCAGAGCCGCTGCAACACTCTGGGTCCCAGCAGCGATGGTGAGGCTCAGCGTCCTCCACACCGCACCTGCACGTCTAATCCTCTGTCTTGGACTCTAGTCATCCTGGCGCAGGGGGCGTGGTGCCTCGTCATGGTTTTGATTTGCCTTTCCCTAATCGAGTCACCCTGCTGAGCGTTTTTGAATGTGATTATTGTACACTGGGATAACTGTTTTAGAGAAATGTCTATTGAAATCTTTTGCCCACTGAAAAAATTTGGGTTGTCTTTTTATTGCTGATTTGAAGGTGTTCTGTATATAATCTGGATACAAAGTCCTTATCAAATATGTGATTTGTATATATTTTCTACCCTTCTTTGGTTTGGTTTTACTTTGTTGGTGGTGTATGATAACACACAGAATTTTAAAATTTTGATGGAGTCCCAGTTTGTCTTTTTTTCTTTTGTTGTTTGTGCTTTGGACAACATGTCCAAGAAACTAGTGCCTAATCTAAGGTCACAAGGACTTACTGCTGTGTTTCCTGCCAAGAGGTTTATAATTTTCGCCCTGGTATTTAGGTCTATAACTCATTTTCGAGTTAATTTTTGTGAAAGGTGGAAGGTCTGTGTAGAGACTCATTTCTTGAATGTTGGTACCGTTTGTTGAAAAGCTGTCATTTACACTCTGGCACTCTTGGAAAAAAGAATCAATTAACCATAAACGTCTGGGTTTATTTCTGGGCTGTTGAGTCTAAACCGTTGCTCTGTACGTCTGTGCTTATGTCCATATTACACTAATTTGAAGGCATAGCTTTTTAAATGTTTCTTTTGACAGTAGGAAGTATGAATTCTCCAATTTTGCTTTTCTTTGTCAGGGTTCTTTTGGCTATATGCGTTGTCTTGGCTTTCTGTACGAATTTTAGGATCAGCTTGTCAATTTCTGCAAAAAAGAAAGTGAGGATTTTAATATAGATTGCATTGAGTCTGCAGATCAATTAGGGGAGCATTGCTGCCTTTTAACAATACTGCCCTCCAGCCCATGAGCACAGGATATCTTTCTCTTTATTGTTTTTGATTTCTTGTAATGAGGTTTTGGTAGTCTTCAACGTACAAGTCTTGCATATCCTTTTACATTTATTTATAAGCATTTTATTCTTTTTGATGCTTTTCTGAAGTGGGTTTCTTCTAACAACATACATTTTTTTGTCCATTGTACCGATTTCTGCCTTTTGACTGGAGTGTTTAGACCTTTCAGTGTAATTACTGATCAGGTAGAATGTATGTCTGCCAGTTTGCTATTTTTTTCCCCCGTGGGTGTTGTGTCTTTTGTGATCCTTTATTCTTCTGTTTTGTTTTCTTTTACGAGCGTGCCATTGTAATTCTGCTGTTGTTCATCGTTTTATACATTTTTCAGTTATCTTCTTAGTGCTTGCCCTGGGGATTACAGTTAGCGTGATCTCGCCTTATTTTTAAGCTTTTCCTGGACCTAAACCTCTCCCTGTCGGAGTCCCATTGGGGCAAACGTGAACAGCTGTGGTTGGAAGAGGAGGAGGACAGAAAGGGAGACCCAGGGGCACTTTGTCACCTGAGACTTGTCTGTGTTGGTGGGTTTATCTGTGACCTTCTTGGTGGAATTTGTTTATTTATTCCATAAATCTCAGTGAACTGGGATGCTTTCCAAACATAGATGTGATAAAATTTCTAGTGGTTATATCAGCAGCTTCCCCTCCCGGCTTGGAGACGTGGGGGACGCAGGCTGGGGGTGCTAAGTCTGCATGACAGTCTCAGCCGCCCTCCCCCCAGACCTGCTCTCTGAGCTCCTGTGACCCTCTCCTGTTTCCCAGGTGCCCGGCACCCCGCTGAGCCTGGTACCCTTCCCACCCCCAGATCTGGAGGGACCCCAGGGCCAGAGACCGCGCTTCTCCCGACGGGCGGCCGGCCATGAGCGGGGGAGCCAGCTGAGAGCACGGACGCCCCCCAGGACCCCGGGACTTGACCAGAAGACCGTTCCTCTCCTCCCGTCAGGACTTCTCGGAGGTAACATTGAGTTTGGAAAACAAAGGCTCGAAAACCCTCATTTAGGTCTTAGTGGAATCTCAAGCCATTGCCTGGGAAGACCATAGACCCTCCTGGATGGGTTTCTCTGTATCTCTTAAATCACACTATGTACGCAGTTACCTACTTCGCCTCCTCTGAAAGAATTTTAAGGATGGTCCTGAACACATTAGGTTAAGCAATTATAGTAATTATTTTACTATTAATAACTTTACAAAAATTGTAAAATATTTTACAAAGATTTCCGCACGGGTCCTCATTTCCTGACCATGGCAACCCTGTGGGGTTGATGTTGCTGGCCTCAGCTCGTAGTCCAGGAAACGGGCTTGGAAGGTCACAGTGACGTCCATAAGGCCTAGGATTCATGAATCCATCCAGAACACGTGGATGGGGCACCTGCGCTGTGCCAGGCGCTGTTCTGACTCGGGACGCGGGGTGAGCATGGCAGACGCAGGCTGCTCTCGTGGTGACTCTGGGTTAGCGGGGACGTGAGTGGGGAGGTTAAGGACCGGCACCGAGAGACAGACTGCATACACGCCACAGGGAAATGGTATGTTTGATTGCCAGGCGTAAGTGTTGCAGAGAAGATACAAAGCAACTGAGTGTAGACGGGTGGAGTTTGAAATCCAGTGCTCCGGGAGATCTCAGTAAAAAGCTGACATCCGGACATGGATTTAAGGCACTAGGGGAACTAGGCGTTTAGAGTCTGGGACAAGAGAACTGTAGTTAGAAGGGAAAGTGGGTGCGAAGGCCCAGAGTCGGGTCTGTGCATCCCAGAATCTTGGAAAAACACCAAGGGTACAGGGTAGCAGGGAGGTGCGGTCAGGAGGTAACAGAAACCTGACCGTGCACTTGGCTCTGTGGACCTTTGGGTAGAATTCCAGGTTTTGTGGTAGGAAATCAGTGCAGGGTTTTAAGCAGAGGAGGGACAGGGTCCATGGTAATAGGCTCATGCTGGCATGGATGTGGACAGAATGCAGCGCGTGCAGGATGGGGGGTGTGGACCGGGAGAGCACTCAGAGTTGTTGGTAATTCAGACAGGCGATCGTGGTGTCTTGCTCCTCTGGTGGCAGCGGAAGTCGTGAAGCGAGCTCCCATTCTGGGCATATTTTGGAGGTAGAGCCCTGAAGGCAGAATGGCCGTGGGACTTGAGAAGAAGGGAAGGTCCATCCTAGAAGGCGAGGACTTCAGCATGTGTACCTAGAGGGAGTTGTGAGCAACTGTGATGGAGAAGTCTGCAGGCAGAGAGGGTTTGGTGCAGAAAGAGGTGAGAAGCTCAGTTCTGAGCAGACTGAGCTAGAGGTTATAAGATACCCACACGGAGATGCTGGGTGGGCAGGCATACCCAGATCTGTAGTTGAAGGTGGTAATCCGAGCTGGAGATACGGTGGGATCCTTGGCTCGTGATGGGTATTTAAAGGAGTAAGGTCAGATGAGAGCCCCAGGGAGAGAAGAGTGCTCAGGATCGGCCCCTGGGACGTCCCTCCCATGTGGGGAGCAAGGGAAGAGGAAAAGCCAGTGACGGAGTTCAAGGCAACCCCCAGGGGGGCAGGGGAGGACCAGGGGTGCGCATCTTGGGAGCCACATGAAATCACTTGAGAAGGAGGAAGTGATGGGCTGTGTCCAGTGTGGGCATGCGCAGGTGGGGGAGGACTGAGAACCGACTCTTGGATCAGCACCATGCAGGTCACTGGTGGCTTTGGTAAAAACAGCAAAATATCAGGTGGGTCCTGCGGCTGTGGCAACCAAACCCAGTGGGAGTGGGTGTGGAGGGAACGGTGTGGGGAGCGGACCTGGGACAGAGGCTTTGCTGCAAAGGGGAGCAGGATGTGGGTGGTGTCTGGTGGGCGATTCAGGCCAGGAGAATTAGTTTGTAGTTGGAAGCATTAGCATTATTTATATGCCAATGGGAATGATTCAACAGAGAGTAAAAATTGGTAATGTTGGACAGAGCGTGGCTGGAACCGTTTCTTGAGTGGGTGAGAGAGGTGTGCTTGTGTACAAGTGGGCTTGTTTGCTTTGGGAAGAGCAAATGTAGTTACTGATGGGGACAGACTTGTGACAGATACATGGGTGCCTGGGTGGCGGCGCTCAGAAAAGGAGTTTTCTTCTGATTGCTTATGTTTCCGTTGTGAAGTAGGAAATAAAGTCACTGTTACCGAGTCCCAGCTTGTCCTTTTTGCCACACGGCAGGCCAGTAAATCGAGAGGTGAGTTGTTGGAACAAGGAGTAGTGATTGTGTTTGGAAAGCCAGCAGACCGAGGAGGTGGTGGACTAGTGTCCCAAAGAGCCATCCTGCCTGAGCTAGAATTCAGGCTTCTTTTATACCCAAAGGGGAGGGAGTGAAGTCAAACACTTCCTGTTCCAGTCAGCCTCCCAAGGGCAGGTGTCAAGGGCTTCCTGCCTGCAGCCGCTCACAGCCGGGCCTGGGCAGGCTGTTCCCTGGGAGCTCAGCAAAGGTGTTTTATCTTAGCACTCATCCCCTGGGAGGCAGGCTTCCCAGAGATGGGCCACATCCCTTTAGCGGTTACCTTATAGCAGGACACAAAGGTTAAAGGCAAAGAAGCAGACACAGTGTGGGGTCAGATTTGCTCCTCCCTGTTCCATCACCGGCTGGAGGGCTTGTCAGCCTGGGGAGACAAGGAGTGAGGAGTCCTCTAGAGAGGGGGGCGCAGAGCGGCCAGATCACCTGGTAGCGGTAAGAGTCCAGCTGAAGCTCTTGGCCACAGGCTGAAAGCCCCCATCGGTGAGACTGTGTGTTTCTAGAGAGCTCAGCTGGGGAGCTGAAGGCCCACACACAGTAGCTCCAGAATGGAATTCCAGTTTGGCTGAATAGAGAGAAACCCGAGTGACAGCGTCTGCAGGGGAGGGATGACTCGGTCACGTGAAGATGAGCACCGTGACGTGCGGAGAGGATGCCGGCGGGAGGAGGAGGTCGGGCTGGGCGATGGATGGGTTTGACTGGAGGTGCAGGGGGAGGGCCGGTGCTGTCTGGCTGGGGACACTGGAGGAAGTGGCTGGAGAGATGGAGGCAGTGGGCTGACATGTGCGCGGACCTGGAGGTCTGGGCGTTTTTGGAACCTAAATCCAGTGTTCCTGCCCCTGAGTCTCAGGTCCTCATCACCCCCCTTTGCCTTTTCACTGCCTGCATTTTGAAAGGACCTACTTGAGAAATCTTATTGAACCCCCAGCCCTATACCAATATTACCAACGTGCGCCTCCGGTGATGCTGGCAATTTGTCGCTGATATCTTACTGACACCTTTCTTTGCTGAGGCAGAGGGAAGTCTGCGGCCGTCCCATCCGTGCAGTAGGAAAGAGGAAATGTGACAACTGAGATTTGAAACTGCTCCTCCTCTTCTCCAAATGCCTTGGACGCTGTGTTTTTTTGTTTGTTTGTTTGTTTGTTTTTTAAACATTTTAAAGTTTTTGCATCTTTCTCTGCAGTACATTTCCTGGTCCAGAGGTATATCGAGTCTCCTCAGGTCTGAGGGAGACATTAAAGCACCTGGAAAAATGCAGGGCAAGGCCAGGGAATGGTGCATTCCTCCCAGAATCTGCCCACAGTCACCTCTCATGACAGTCTGTTTGGGAATCTGTCTCCAGCAAATTCCAAGAACTGAAATGGCTTCACAAGCACAAAAGATTCATGTTGAAGAAGCCAAAATACCAGAAAATGACATTCCAGAGCAAGCAAAGATATTTTTAAATGTTTAGGATTTATAAAGCGAAGCAGCCTTCATAGAATGCAAACCAGCCCCGATTCACATTTCTGTGATTGAAGTAGCTAAATCTGAAAGACAGTTTTCTTTTCTTTCTTTTTTTTTTAAGTGGAGAATGTCATCGGTAAGAAAAGAAATCTTCTGTTAAGAAGCTGTAACGGTGCCTTGGCCCGCATTCAGCGCGGGGCAGGGCCGGCCCGGGGAGCTGCAGCTGGCGGCCGGGCTTGGTGCAGCCCTTCTCCGGGGCAGTGAGGCTTTAAGGCAAAGGTCATTTAAAACACTAACTAGAATCGCAGATAGCAATACCCTGCTTTAGTTCTTGTGGTTTCAGGGCGGCTGAGGTGGTTACACGAGCAATATTTTTAAAAGCAGAAACACATAAAGATGCTGCTCTGAGATTCTATGGCAGAAGGTTCTGCTAAATCATAACAACTTCCCACATTTATCTCAGTTGCAGTTTCTTTGTTTCATTTTATTTTTTGTTCTTGTTTTTGTTTGTTTAGAGAGCTCGCTGTCCTCTGGGCCATGCTGTCCAGCCAGTCTGTTTCCTGGGTCAGCCTCCATAAGTGTTCTTGGTGTTCCCACATCCCGAGTTCTGGCAGCAGTGGGACCGCTGGTCCAGGAAAAACGGGGACCTGCTCCTGCGGACAGTGCGGGTTTCTCCAGAAGGGCCAAGCAGCAGGCACTTAATGAGCATCAGTTATGTGCAAGGTCATGTTCTTGGTCCAGGAGGGATGGAAGAGGAGACACAGGGCGGGCCTCTGCTTTGGCGTTTTTCCTTGACTGATGTTAACAAGCAGAAGAGGTGGAACTCCGGCTCCCAAAATGAGCTTAGGGCAGAGCAGAACTGAGGCTGTGAGAAATGGGCGCTGAGTACCAGGACCCCTCACGGCCGAGACCGCTGAGTGGAGAGAAAGCTGGTTAAGAGTGCTCGGGCCACTCCTGCTGGACCCTGCAGATTTGGAGTGAGACTCTGTCCTGTGGCCCCTGGGGAACCGTTAGGGTTTGTGAAGGGTAGTGATAGGATGTTAGAAAAGAAAAATGGCCTGGACAGATTTACTGGGCCCTGTGGTGCTTCCAATGCAAAGAAAACATTGAAAGCAGAGAAAAGAGTCGAAAAGTTTGATCATGTGACTTCACAAAATTAATGGAATTCCCCCGCCGTTTAAAAAATACAGTGCTTCTGTGGTTATTCCCCAGGGCCTAACAACAGAGCTTCACAAACACAAGCAACACATTGACCAAGAAAGATGCCTCCTGC